GCCCTGGTTAATATACAACACTAAGTCTGGAAACGTGTATTGTGAAATTAAGAAAGAAGCCAATATTTACCATTCCAACCTTTCAAAATTAAATCAGCATCTGTACTGTTTCTTTTTATAAACACCCATCCACTCTTTGACATCTTTTACCTCCTTTTTATCCACTTTAACACTCCAGGAAATACATTTTAAATGTCCTTNTATTATGCTCAAAAGTTTTACTGGATACTTTATCAACTGTACATAACTCTGTTGAGCTAAATATACCAATAATTTTGTCTGCCATCTCTGCCATTTTATCCAAAGAATCAGAGCTAATAGATAATATAGCTTGAACCTGTTGTGGTAGCCTCTGTAGCCAAAGTGATTTTAACAATTCCTCAGAAATGGAATTTTCAGCCAAACCTTTCATTTGTCGCAACAAGTCAGATGGACGCTTATCGCCAAGATTAAGTGTAGTCAACACCTTTTTTAACCTGGCTTCTTCAGAATCTGTCAATCTACTTAACAATGCATTTTTTAAGGCGTCGTATTTTCCATTCATTGGCGGGTTTAACAAAATATCCTCTACGAAATCTAAGACATTTTCGTCTAATGAGGCAACGACAATGTTATACTTAGTTAAATCACGAGTAATATTGCCGTTAGCAAACTGTGCTTCAAGTTGTAAGAACCATAACTTAGGTTTATGTCGCCAAAAAATTGGTGGTTTAACTGCCACTTTGTTTACTTCTAAATTCATATTATCTTGAGTTGTTGAATTTAAATTATCGTTTGTGCTTTCCTCTATGTTTAATATAAAGATAAATCAGAAAATAATGGTGATGCACAAACCTTTTTTAATCCAAATAAAATCTTCGCACTCTTAAAGTAATCGCGTCCTGAGGTCACCAGTTGTAAGGGAAGGTTTTCTATCTTCCTACTATGGCTATTTTGGATAAATAAAAACGAAGTAAATTGGAGACATCACAACATTTAATATACGCAGTTATTTACAAGTTAATATGAAATATATAAACCATTAATACTTTTACATCCCAATGTCTGGAACGTCAAGATAATAATTATTATTGAGTTGTCTTAGCAAACGCATTTTTTATAAAACTAAAATTAAATGCTTGTTATGTTATTGCTCTTGCGCACCACAGCACGTAGGTTCGTGTTTTATGACTTGTTTGGAATAAAAGAAACGAAAATGTCATTTTTGATAGAAATATGTTTATACTTAAAAGATACGAAATATATCCTGATTTAGAATTATAAGAAAACTAAGCATTCAAATGAACAATCTAATGACAAATATTTATTTATAAAATAGCTTTCATAATTGGGTTCTTGCAACTCAAGAAGAAGTGAAGTGATTATGCACTACCATGTGATTTAAATCAAATTTAATTGGATAGCTACATGCGACGCCATCGCTTGTGTGTCGAACCTGAATCAATGGCTGCTGAATCGACACGTACCACGAGTCTCCTGCAGGCATCCAATTAGCTTTTATAGTAAGTTAAAATTAAGTCTCAAACTTTTTAGAACTGTATAAATGCTTGGATGTGTTTTCTTTCAATAAAAAACAGTACATTCATAAAAAACAATTTGAGAAAACGGCTATTCTTATTAAATTGAAACCGAAAATTGGTTTTTAATATGCCTTTTTTTGTTACAAAGAAATTTGGCAAATAGAGAAAAGAGCACGCATTTGAGAAAACGGATGAATAAATTCGTAATCAAAAATTTTTTACATGCATTTTTAAAAAGAAGAAGAAAAAGAGAGAGAAAAGGAATATACTTTTTTAAGAAAACAATTACACAAATTTGTGAACAAGAATTGTTTTCAAATGATTAAAGCATCATAACGCGTATTAAAGCATGATTTTCAAAAGGAGAAAATAAAAACTCGGTTTTAAAAAAAATTTTATGTTATCCTCACGTAACTATCGTTTTATAAAAAACATAGAGTACGATATTTTGGTAAGGAAAAGAACAGACATTTTTGGGAAAACGATTGAATAACTTTATAACCAGAAACTTTTTTGATATCTCTTCTTTTTCAGAAAACGATACGTAAATTAAAAAAAAACCACTTTTCGAGAAAACGATTCTTTAATTTTATAACAAAAACTTTTTTTTAATTCATATATTTTAATTAAATGAAAAAACGATATTTAAAGTAAGGAAACGTATATTTGCACGAAAATAATTGATAAATGTTAGCTTTTTTGAAGAAAAAAATTTTTTTTCTCAATTTTTAATTGCAACTTTAGTTATTGGCGACTTTTTCCCAGTTGTTTATCTTTAATACTTTTAGATCTTTAGCAGTGTCATCTAGCCATCTAGTTGGGGGTCTTCTTCTAACCCGAGGTCCCGAAGGATTTTTAAAGGTGGCGATTCGGACAGCATTATTTTCTGGACCTCTCCAGATATGGCCAAGCCATCTTAATCTATTGATTCGGATGACCTTCACTATCTGTGGCTGTCCATAGAGTCTATATAATTCAAAGTAGAATCTGATTCTGTCGTGATTGACAACTTTCAATACTTTATTGCGTGGATCCATAGCACACGGCCCCGACTGGACTCTATGTGGCCAGTAGTAGAAGACCAGGCTTTAATGACGATGAACATCAAATCTGCCCTTATTGCTCATGGCTTCGTCAAGTTGATCTTCACGCGGCGGCTCATCTATGAATCTTGCAATGTGCAGTTCACGTGGAAGGCATGGTTCATATACATAAAGCGAGTAAAATGGAGGTAGAATTCATGTTAGGATCTTCAACGTTTGGAAACTGCATAGTAAAACCCTAAGAAGTGACCCAGATGTAACTGGTGGATACGAATTTCGATACCGGCTCGAACCGACCACAGTACTGACCTCAATGACAGGCGAGTTAGAAACCCCTTTTGCCGCTTAGGGTTCAAAGTTGACAAGAGTTGAATATTGACAGTCGTCATCTCGGAATTGGGTCGGCTGTTCCATAACGGTTTTAAAATAAAATAAAACAGTAAAAAAAAAAACTGTTCCAACTCCATATATCATGATATGGTTCGTCAACAGTCTTTTGAAACCGGAATTGAACACCCATTCTCAGTTTAACAATCATTATCAATGACTTTTTGAGCTTGGTGACATCCATTTCAGATCTTTCTTACTCTTCAACTGCTGTAGCAGCAATAATAAAATAAATTTTAGTTTTGAAACGAATGTCAAACAATGAAAAAAAATATATATTCTATAACCATTAAAATTTTTTATTCTAGATTAAATATTCCCAATGAAATCGAGTTATACTTCAATACAGCAAATCGAGAAGAAAAGGATTGACTGACAATAAAGACATTTAAATCACACAAAAAAAGTAATGTGTATGCATAACTATCAGATTTCACATTTTTATTGCCTCGGTGATATATTTCAGATATATTCCAGACTATAAGCCGATCGAAATAAAGAGAAATACACGAATTTCTCGATTCAGATTAATTCATGGCAACATCAAATCAAATACAACATAAAGAAATCGTAATGGAGAAAGTAAAGAACACAGGAGGAAAAAAAATCATCCAATTTCAATTCTGGGATTACTTTTTTTTTCTTCTTTTTGTAAAAGAAATAATATAGTACAGTATTTCGTAGCGTAGCCCTCCCGAGATTTCAGGAAATCAGGAAATGTTCTCTTGGCGCTACTTACATTGGCGTTATTTGATATTTCGTCATTATGGGCAAATCAAAGCATCTGCGATAGTAAATATATTTTTGTCTTTTTTTTAAAGAAAAACTGGGGTTATTTCTTAATGGGAGAAGGAAAAAAAACAATATTTATTAAATTTAATATTATTTGTTTAGTTATTTAAGAAATATATACAGAATGTATATTTGTTTTTATTATTTTTTAATCAGTATTTTATCGAAAGGAACGATTCATGTAAGTCAATAAAATAATCGAGTCTCGAAAAAAAAAGAAAAAAGAAAAGAGGTTTTTCGAATTTAGAGTGAATTTCGTAGTGAGTCCATTGCTTATAACGTTTAATATTGATTATGAATTGTTTATGGAGGTTAACATTTAATCCAAACAAGAAAGGAAATCTATTTAAATAAGTTAATTAATGACTAATCAAACACTTTTCTTTTTAACATCAGGAGGGCTCTGGAGTTGGAGAAAATTTTGCAGGAGTAGGAAAAATGTGCACGACCTAGGATAGTTAAAAATAGGATCGTGTAAATTTAACTAAATTAATTTGATTATTATTTTAATTTAACTGCTTAAGATAGAGGTTTTTTGATTCAATAGTTTCTAGGTCTTACCCTGTTCTGGATGAGTACTTGATAGGGGGGGGGAGAAAAGACTGACCCCCTATTCGTTGTTCTTGACAATGAAGCAAAGTCCTAATGAAGAGGCTTCAGATAACCTTCAGATAGATATTTAGGTGGGTCATCGATTGGTTAATACTTCTAACCAAAGAAGATTGGTATTTAACTCTTAAGGACATTTAAAATGTATTTCCTGGAGTGTTAAAGTGGATAAAAAGGAGGTAAAAGATGTCAAAGAGTGGATGGGTGTTTATAAAAAGAAACAGTACAGATGCTGATTATATTTTGAAAGGTTGGAATGGTAAATATTGGCTTCTTTCTTAATTTCACAATACACGTTTCCAGACTTAGTGTTGTATATTAACCAGGGCTCGAGAAAACTCAGAAATTTTACCCGTTTTACTTGTCTAACAATGTACCCGTCCTCCCTTGAAAATAACCCGTAGCTTCTAATTAAATAAAAATACAATTTTCTCTTATTTATTACAAACATTTATATAAATTGTACAATGAATTAGTAGTTACTAGAATTACATTATACAGTAATAAAAGAAATACTAGGTTACTAATAGAAACCTTCCCTTACAACTGGTGACCTCAGGACGTGATTACTTTAACAGTGCGAAGATTTTATTTGGATTAAAAAAGGTTTGTGCATCACCATTATTTTCTGATTATCTTTATATTAAACATGGAGGAAAGAACAAACGATAATTTAAATTCATCAACTCAGGATGTGAACTTAGAAATAAACAAAGTAGCAGTTAAACCATCAATTTTTTGGCGACATAAACCTAAGTTATGGTTCTTACAACTTGAAGCACAGTTTGCTAACGGCAATATTACTCGTGATTTAACTAAGTATAACATTGTCGTTGCCTCATTGGACGAAAATGTCTTAGATTTTGTAGTGGATATCTTGTCAAACCAGCCAATTGATGGAAAATACGACGCTTTAAAAAATGCATTATTAAATAGATTAACAGATACTGAAGAAGTCAGGTTAAAAAAGGTGTTAACTGAACTTAATCTTGGCGATAAGCGTCCATCTGACTTGTTGCGGCGACAAATAAAAGGTTTGGCTGAAAATTCCATTTCTGAGGAATTATTAAAATCACTTTGGCTACAGAGATTACCACAACAGATTCAAGCTATATTATCTATTAGCTCTGATTCTTTGGATAAAATTGCAGAGATGACAGACAAAATTATTGGTATATTTAGCTCAGCAGAGTTATATACAGTTGATAAAGTATCCAGCAAAACTTTTGAGCATTAGTAACGAAAAAATTATTTCATTGGAGATTAGTATTGCAGAATTAACTAAGAAATTTGATACATTCATCACAAGGAGTAGATCTCAAGATAAATCTGTTAGAGCTCGAGACCGTAGCAGTTCGAGATCCCAATATTCTCGTTATAAGCTATGTTGGTACCATTATAAAATCGGCACATCACTGTGTTAAGCCTTGCGAATTTAAAAAACCTACAAATGCTTCGGAAAACTAGTCAATTGAAGAGGCCAACGACTACGGGCAACCAAACTGCCGCCTCTTCCTTTTTGACAAGTCAAGCAAAAGGCACTATTTTATTGACACCGGTGCTGACGTGTCTCTAATTCCACCGCCAAAACCAAATAAACTGTTCCCATCTGATTTTAAACTTTATGTTGCAAATTCAAGTTCAATCAAAACTTACGGCAAGCAACTTATCAATTTAGATTTAGGATTGAGAAAACGTTTCAAAAGGAATTTCATCATAGCAGACGTCTCAAAGCCAATAATTGGTGCAGATTTTCTTAAGGCACATGGACTTTTGGTAGACATTAAACAAAAACGTTTGCTTGATCCTTTAACATCACTAACAGTTTCAACTAGAATAATTAAAGGACCATCTTCATTTTCAACACCCTCGATAGTAATCATCTAGATCCAGATATTCATTCTCTACTGCAAGAATTCAAAAACTTATTTTCAGAAAAAATGGAACTGAATAAAGTTAACTTCAACCATAATGTCACTCATTCTATTGTTACAAAAGGTCCACCCATAACATCTAAAGTGCATAGATTGGCTCCAGAGAAATTAAAAATCACCAAATCAGAATTTGACTACATGCTTGAGCGTGGCATATGCCGACCATCAAGCAGTCCTTGGTCAAGTCCATTACATCTGGTCAAGAAAAAAAAATAGTGCATGGAGTCCGCGCGGAAGAAGTTAAACTTCGCAAACTGCGACGTTAATTGTAGAAGAATCAGCAGTCGTAGAAGAATCACTAGTTCTATTGAACGACTCTTTTTCCTGCTCCGCTCGCTTCCGTGCTCTGTAATCACGATAATATTGTGCATTTTTCCCTCACGAACCAGTGGAAGTGCTTGTGGTTGCCTCATCGTCTCACCCTGGAAAATGTATTTGTATTAATAATGTATGTGAATGCGTCATGATGTAATTTCAAAAGAGAAACAATCAATTGATATTCACCGTCGCATTGTCCGTGGGATTGTTTTCACTCATTTTTTACAATTGTTATCCACTAAATTTGAAAATAAAAAATTCTACCCTATTAAATTATATGTGTATCAAATCAAACTAAAAAATTATTTATAGAAAAACAATACTTTTATGACTTTTATTATTTTTATGCTAGTGAGAACCAAAACAATATGGAAATGAATGAGGGAAAACTAGATCCTACCACGTGACTTCCCGGCCAATAACAATTTAGCGTTAAACGTTTAACGCAACCTTGTTGGAATTCGTATAAGAAGTATAACTTCAAAAATGGCGAATGGAGACCATGCGGGGACTATCGTGCTTTAAATGCAGCCACATTAGATATCCTATTCCACACCTACATGATTTAACACACCAATTAGAAGGTTGTACTGTATATTCCACATTAGATCTCCATCGAGCTTATCATCAAATTCCCATGGAACCAGCAGATATAGAAAAAACAGCTATTAGTGCGCCATTCTGACTGTTCGAATTTCCTTTGATGACTTTTGGACTTCGTAAGGTAGCGCAGACATTCCAGAGATTTACGCACGCCGCTCTTCGTGGCCTAGAATTCTGTTTCGTCAATCTGGATGACATACTAATTGCATCGCGTTCTAAAGAGGAACATTTACAACATCTCAGAACAGCTTTTGAGAGATTGCAACAATTTGGATTAAGATTAAATCTCAGTAAATGCAACTTCGCTAAGCCAGAGGTGAATTTTGTCGGTCACACTGTTTCTCTAAAAGAAATTCTCCCGGCAGAAGAAAAAGTCAAAGTCATTGAAGATTTCAGCAAACCCAAAACAGTCAAAAAACTTAGTAGATTTTTGGGAACTATAAATTTCTACAAAAGATTTATTCCTCAATCGGTTCAACACCTACCATGCTTAGATGATTATTTAAAAAACAGCAAAAAGAATGATAATCGAACTATTGAATGGTCAGACGAAGCTTCAAGTGCTTTTACGAAATCCAAAGAATTGTTAAAATCTGCAGCAATTTTGTCTCACCCAGTGCCATCTGCTAAACTTGCCCTTATGGTAGACGCTTCCAATATAGCGATAGGTGGAGTGGTGCAACAACTCGTCAATAATGATTGGCAACCGGTAGGTTTCTTTTCTGTTCGACTAACACCTTCACAAAAGAATTATAGTACCTATGATCGGGAACTGTTAGCTGCATATTCATCTATTAAGCATTTCTGATATGTGTTGGAGGGTCGAGAATTTACGTTATTCACTGATCACAAGTCGCTGGTATACGCTTTCCGACAAAACTCGGAGAAAGCATCACCCCGACAACAAAGACATTTAGAGTAGATTAGCCAATTCACGTTAGAAATTCAACACATTTTAGGAAAAGATAACATGGTTTCAGACGCTCTATCAAGATTGGAAGAAATAAGAATTACTTCTGAAATTGACTTTGAATCTTTAGCCAAAGTGTTAAAAGATTTAATGAAATGACGAAAACTGTTCTTTGAAATTTACGCTAGTTCCTATTTTTGGCTCTCATTATATTGCGATACTACCACAAAAATTAAAAGGCCATTTATTCCAGTTAACTTTAGAAAACTAGTATTGAAAAGTGTTCTCTCACATCCTGGAATTAAAGCTCGATTAGTTACATCGAAATTTATTTGGCCGTCAATAAACAAAGACATTATCGATTGGACCAAAAGTTGTTTGAAATGCCAGAAATCCAAACTTTCTAAACATCACAAAAATATCCTATAGTTGGTCAACGACTTCAAGAAATTAATCTAGACCTGAATGGACCTTTGCCATCATCAGAAGTTATTGCTTTAAGATAATTGATCGCTACACGCGAAGCCATTCCTTTACCTGATATTCGAGCAGAGACAGTTTCTGATGCTTTATTGAAAAATTGGATCGCGGTATTCCAAGCGTAATTACAACTGATCAGGGTGCGCAGTTTGAGTCTCAATTGTTCCAAGAACTTTCAAAGTTACTTGGGTTTAAAAGAAATAGAACTACTGCATATCACCCTCAAGCTAATGGCTGTGTAGAACGCTGGCATCGTAATTTGAAAGCAGGCATAATGTGCCATGAAAATCCAAGCTGGACAAAGTCACTTCCGATTATTCTACTTGGTTTACGCACAACCTTGCGAGATGACTGTCAAGCCACCCCAGCAGAACTCATGTATGATGAAAATATAAAACTACCATATGATTTTTTTGAACATTCAAACATTGAAGCGCAATCAGAATTCATTCACAATTTAAAAAGCACCATGGAAAAATTAAAACCCGTCCCATTTCGTCATCACTCGAAGCAGAAACCATTTATATTCAAAGATTTAAAAACTTGCTCACACGTATTTGTCCGTACTGACAGTGTTCGACATAGTTTGCAACAACCCTATCATAGACCCTATAAAGTTTCAAAGAGAACCGATAAAATGTTCACTGTTAAAATGAGGCAAAAAGAAGTTAATGTATCGATAGATAGAATAAAGCCCTATTTTTCGGACATTTCTACAGAATCACCTTTACTGGTTGAAAAGAATTTTGGGCCTGTTTCATCGTCTACAATTTCTGCTACAGAGCAAAGCAACGGAAACAAAAGAGTGAAGCTTGTTATTCCACCCCAAGTGACTAGATCTGGACGAACTGTGCGCATTCCAGCACGTTACACATGAGGTTCTTCATCGGGGGGGGGGTGCTGTGGTGCTCAAGAGCAATAACATAACAAGCATTTAGTTTTAGTTTTATAAAAAATGCGTTTGCTAAGACAACTCAATAATAATTATTATCTTGACGTTCCAGACATTGGGATGTAAAAGTATTAACGGTTTATAAATTTCATATTAACTTGTAAATAACTGTGTATATTAAATGTTGTGATGTCTCCAATTTACTTCGTTTTTATTTATCCAAAATCGCACATAGTAGGAAAATAGAAAACATTTTCTTTGACAGCTTATAAATGTCAAAATAGAATTTGCATATCTAATCTAAATAACCCATTCTATCTTCATAAATTTGACTTTTGTTTTGACTTCATCTAAATAGACGAGAGGGACCGAAAATGGAAGAAGTATCGCTTGAAATATGTAGTGACAGGTGTGTAGCAGCATCTTGTTTCTCGATATGAGCTCAAAATGCATATCCGAGCAACGAACCATAACGATGGGCAAATGATTTTCTAAATGAAGTCTCGCGAAAGATGAATATTTACGGCACTTGTTTGAGAGTTTTTATTGAAGACTCCTGGCCTGCATAAATTAGTAACACGATGAATATTAATCATTTATGTACTATCTATGATAGAGAAACTGTCCTTGATTTTGATCTTTGAAATTGATTTCTTTTTTTTTCAATTCCTACTTTCACCCTATATTTTGTTCAATCTTTCATAAAGTACTTTTTATTCATCCATTCAATGACATTTTTCTGAACTTGTAGTGTTAATACAGTTTTTTTTTCTTCCAAATATTAATTCTTTCATCAAATAAGGATGAAAGAAAAAGGAATTTTCTGATGGCGTTAGTCATAGTTTTAAATTTTACTATAAGTTATTCAGTTTTTCACGTATTTCAAAAACAACAGCAGTGATCATTTCTAACTTATTGACTAACTATTTGAACAAAAAAAAAAGAGCTAATTGCTCACATTGAAATATTTAATTATTTTATATTCCCTGTGTCAAATAAATTCAATAAAGAACATAACGTGTGGACCACGTCATCCAATTTATATTTTTACAGTTGTCTGATATCAAGCGCCTTTTTTTGTTGTTGTTCCAATTCCTAATTTTAGTTCACCCTCTCCCTATACATATATTTATATATATCTTGTTCAAATTTAAGATCATTCATAAAATACTTTTTTTTTCAAGTTCAAATACATTTTTTTAAAACTTGAAGTGGATGATGACACTTGATATAGTTTTTTCACTTATTCATTCATTCATTAAATTTAATTCATTCATTTATAGGGGAGGAAATTTTTTTATTATTCAATAAAAAGTAACTAAAATAAAATTTGTTGACCTGAGTAGGAATTGAATTTTTGAAAAAAAAATGTCTACTACTTGTTAAAAAAGTAATCTTAGTGTTTATAAACAAATGTATTCGGAAATTTTATAAAATATGTAAGGGTATTAAACGATTGTAAATCTAAGTGATAAACTCAAAAGTTTTGTAAAAGTCATATATAAATGTACAAAAAATGTGTGAGATACATCTGGCATCAAAATAACCGATTGTTAAGGAACTATCGTAATGAAAAGAAAGATTTTTAAGAATGAAAAGTTATAATTATTTTGATAATAATCTTATTCAGTACTGAGATGACGAATTTTATCCATGTTAAGGTTTTAGCAATGAAATGCTCGGACAAACATTTTTCTGTGATTAACCTGATTAAATATTGAAATTCAGAATTTAATTTCACTGAAAAATGTATGATAAGGAAAAACTATTCACACTCTGCGTTGTTCTGCGGATTTCTAATGAGGTTTCGAATTCCTTTGCTTGTTAATCTAAATTTTTTCCATCTGAAATCATTGTGATACCAAATTATAGTCATAAAAATCACAGCATAAGGGAACATTGTAGCTTTATTAAAACAAAACAATATTAAACATTATTTAAACGTTATACATAATTTACCCAGATTGCAAACTTTCATTTTCTTTCTCTCTTTTTTTAAGAACATGGGCCCTCATCTTTTTACAGTAATTTCCCAAATGAGAAAGAAATGTTTCTTAAATATTCTAAATATTAATAATTTTTATCTCTTTTTTTAACTTTAAGGAATTTAAATCAATAATAATTCATGAGAATGTTTTATAACTTTCGTTGAACAGCCGACCCGATTTTGGGCTTACGACATGCCCTCAGCCTTGTCATCAATCCAGAAGACAACTTCTGGACCCCAAGAGGAACCATGGAGGACTTTGTAACTCGACAGATTCAACCCGTCACCCTTTACTACAAGGGGAGTCCTCGACTGGCGGGGATAGAACCCACGACCTCTTGGACAGGGGCCCAGTGCCCTACCAACCGTTTGTCTGAAATATTGCAGGGTACTTATAGAGATTTCCGCAATGAGTGAGGGGGGTTACCCCCGTTTTCACGTGATATTTGAAGGGAGAAGTTGTAAACAACAATCTAAAATTTTCCATTTGAAATCATTGAAAAGTTTTATGATATTAAATCAACTGCGGAAGAATTCATTAAAACACTCTGATTTTAAACTCATTTTACAGAGATGTTGAATAGGCGAGATTTTCAAGGTTCAAAACGACACTTTCAAGCAAAATTTTCCGAGTCAAGTCATTGCACAATTTCAGAATAACTGTATATCCTAATACTATTTCAAACCTATATCATTGCACAATTATGCTGAATTAACCCAATAAGTGAAATGATTGCCCAATTGGATGCCACTGAATTTACCTAATAATGTTTCCAAGTGAAATCACTAAAGAATTTTATGATACTGAATGAATGTGACAATATTTTCAATTAAAATCGTTGCGCAATTTTGTGATGAGGAATTATTATAATTTTTCCAAGTGAAATAACTGCACAATTTTATGATAAGGTCATATAAAAATCATTATCTACTGCATTAATGTTGCAGTCCAAATGACTCTAAGACACGCACTTTAAGATTCTATGTGAAATCTTAATAGTATACAGCTTTTGTTTACTTTCGTGTTTCAATAGGTTAACATTGTCATGTCAGTACGTTAAATTTAAATACAAATAGGAAATATATAAAAAATCTCCCGAATAAAAACCCATTGCATGTATGTTTAAATATAAAAGTATTGCATACAAACTCGTTCAAAACATGTTATTATAACTACAGAGGGTCTAATTACTATAATCTACTGATATACTGATACATGATGTAATAAATATTCTATATTTATATAATATATAGTCTCATTTATCCAATCATCGAATTTCTATTGTCTCATTCAACCAATTCATAAACGAACGTAAGCAAGTGTAAACCGGTTTCAGTCGCGTAAAAGTTGCATACCTTAATATTTTGCAGAAAATCTAATCATTTGGCCAACAGGGAGTGTAGGGTGACCCGGGGTAATTCACGATCGCTCTGTTTCTGGGGTAAATAATGATCACCTAAGTTTTATTTTAAAAAAAAAATTTTTTTTTAAATTTGAGACATGGACAAGAATGCTTGTACACTTTACTAAAGTATAACTACATTTACTTAATAATAGTTTTTTGTTTAATCTAACTAAATAAGTATCTTTTAAACTGCTTTCTGTATTTTCCATTTCAAAGATGGGTTTCAAAATGTGCACATTTCTGCAAAGATCCCCTTCCTTCTCTTAATAATAAATATTTTGACTTATTTTCTTCTTCTTTGATATAAAAATAGAATTAGCTTTTGTTTAATTGTTTCATATCTACTGTAAACATTAGAATTGATTATAGGAAACTATATCAAATGCTGCCCCCTACAGATGGGGTAATTATTGATCACTGGGGTAATTCCTGATCATTGTCATTTCTTCTTATAAATAGTATATAAAATAACTAATAAGTAGCTAATTGTACTTTCTTAAAAGCAGTTCATATTTATTAAGTGGAACAACTATAAAATATATTTTAACTGTCATTACAAAAAATTTTTTTAACTGTATACAACACTGTATTCTGATTTGCACCATCTCTTATTTGTTTTACCTTGCTTCTATCTTAATTTTATGTTTGTACATTGTTAGAATAACTTTTAAGTTTATAAATTAGCCTAGTATAAATATGGTGAGAAATTATTGGCCTAAAAATGATACTAAGCTTCTAGAAAGCAAAATTAGTGAATTTCGTTTAATGATTGAAAATGAAACTTTTCAGTGTGAAAGCTGCTGCCAGAGCTGTTGAGTTGACATACCTTACTTAACTTTACACTTTCACTTAATGAAGTTAAAAAATCCAGCAAAAGTAACCCATGTGGGAACTCTCTTATATTTCAGCAGAACATGAGAATGAATTGGCTGATTGCCTACAATGTAAGACACGATGCAAAGATTTTTGGAAAATTTAAAGTGTTTATCTTTCTTGCTTTTAAATAAATTGTTTTATTAGATGCTTAAACATATCTTTTTTGTTTATTTGTTTGATCTTGATGTCTTATTTGTTAATTACCATTATATAATTATTTTTAAACAGCCCCTATACAATAAAAACTGGTGATCAGTAATTACCCCAGAAGTGATCAGTAATTACCCCAGAAATGATCAAGACCAGGGGTAATTCCTGATCACTAAACATTTAAAATCTTTTAAATTCTAATTGGATTTTCAAACAAAAGAAGGTGGCATAGGACTCATCTCATATAGTCTCAAACTTCCAATAAATATTAAAATTTTATCTTAAATAGTTTTTTCACGAAATAGATGTTTGCATTTTTTGATCAGGAATTACCCCAGGTTACCCTATATTTTCTTTAAAACATGACTAATATTTCTTTTCTCTTTTTTTCCAGGGTGTGATTTGGTGGGAAAATTCAAAACATCGATGAAGCGTTTCGTCCAAGAGGTAGAAATAGGTAATGCGAAGTGCTCCTAGGCCATCCAACAATGTTCTCTTACATTCTCCCTATTCTCACCGCAGGTTAGTCTCTCTCTCGTCAAACGCATTACACATTAAAAAGAATTAAAAAAAATCATTCCAAACGAGTGATGGAGAAAAGGAAAATTCTCCCTCTCTATTCTTCTCTTTTTTTTTTGTCTCTCACTCTCTTCACCCATCTTTTTACTCTTCACTCTTACATTCTTACACTCACTCTGCATTCCTCAGTTGAAATCGAGTTAAGCTATGTTGCCAGACGGCGGAAGTGACATTTATGAGTTATTATCGTTTTCGTTCCGAAATCGGTAAGAAAAATCGTTTGCATTTTATTTTTTTCAAAAGTGCAAACGATTTCGCTTGTAAAAGTCGGAAATTTTCTGCCACTTAAATCAATTGTGTTTCAATGTGATTAGAAAATATTTTGCACTCTTTAAAAAAAGGTGTGGAGTTTGCAAAATAGGAAGCATTTTGAGAAAAATTGTAAATAATTAGAAACTATTAACGGATCGTAAGAGTTTTTGCTGAAACATTATTTTTTTGTTAAAGTTATCTTAATCTTTTTACTTGATAAAGAAATGTATAAATTATTTGTTTTTATGATCCACTTTGTTGGCAAAAAATGCTGATCCATCGGAGAATACTTTGAAACTTCATTTGGTAAAATTAATGCTGATGATCTGTGTAAATTTATTTAACTTCGAAAATGATAGTAAAGGAAAATTGCCATTTAAAAATAGCTCGATTTTGACTTTGGAAAAAAGTCTCTCTCATTTCAAAGGAGAATTGGTTCGTTTATTCAATTCAAACTTAGTTCATTCCTCACATTTTTAAAATGAAGTGGCTAGTTTCAGTTCTTTTAGTACGTAATATTATATTTATATTTGTTCTATTTTTCTCAACTACTTCATAGTGTCAACTATTCTGCTGTTTAATAAGTACTAATTTATAGAAATTTCGACATAGTTTGATTTTCGGGATATTTAAGTGATTGTATGAAACGAACCGAATTTCCTAATAATCTTTAACTTTAACTTTGACCCCACTTTTTCTTGATTTCATATTCGCGGTGAAAACATCTCGGAATGTGGCAATCTCTGTCATTTATGAGAATGCAATACACACTCCAAAAAGTTTTCACTTTTCTCAATCTTTTTCCATCTCCATCACTTTTTTTTTTAAATAGCTAGCGGCTTAGAATAATATAGACAGTTAGAAAATATCGACAAAAAATAACATTTAAGGAAATAAATAAACTTCTTTAATCCTTTTAAAAGGAAGTGCTACTCCTCTCGCTTTGTTACTCCAGTTGGACATCCAACGCATGTGGAAAAATATGTTTATATATTTGTTAGATGAAATAATTTATGGCAATAAAGAAATTTTTGAGGGAGCAATATTATTTTGGTATCAAAATTGCAGAATGAAACTTTTAACATTTTTTTATTTATTTCAAAATGTCCTATATAAATTTTTAATAACGAAAATGGTGGGTGACATAGGGAGCAACTGAAACATTTTCTGCGGCTTACAACATCGATCCACAAGACGTAACAAGAAACTAAATTCTTCAAACTAGAACGTTTTTCAAAACACGAAGTAACCCACAAAATAAAGACACTCTTGAGACTCAGTTTTCAATATATTCCACAACAATTAAGAAATTCCTGCTTTTAGGAACGTAAAAAGAACCATCATCCAATGAATTTCATCGAAAAATGATAAGAAATTCAATTCGTTTATCTTATTAACGGTGATGAGGTTTAAAATTTCATTATTCTATAGAAAACACTGTTTTTCAAGATATGCATTTTATAAACGCTTTTAATTTATTTGTTGTTAATAATGCACTATTTTAATGGTGTCACAGTCAGCTATAGTGAACCCTCAAGGTGCACTCTATCCCTACTGCAAACAATTTTTCGAAACTCTTCTCTTTTATGACACATTATTTAAACAAATGAGCCATTAAAAGAAATACAAAAATGATTAAACAATATGTAGTAACAAAAAATGCTTTTATTTATTATGACTCTTCGCTTTGTGTACAAAACATTTAGAGATAGTCTTTATTTAGGGAAGGGAAACTGAGATAGAAGCAAACAAGAGAAAATACTTATGGCTACATTCCACTCAATCAGATGGTTTCAAAATTCGGTATTTGTATTTTATGTAGAAATTTCAATATGACCCAAAAATGAAGAAAGTAAATCAGTGGAAGATAGAAAAAACTACATAATATCTCATCTCTTTTTTTGGTTCACTATATCCGCAAAAAATAATATTATATGTGCATAGCGAGGCAAGCAAGCGAACATTTCATTCACTCTATCCGGGAATTCACTATAAACCACGTTCGCTATAACGGGATTAGACTGTATTTGAATTTTATTTTAAAACCAAAATGTAAAGAAATACATACACATATGCGTACATTTACACACAGACACACGCGCGCGCACACACACACACACACACACACATATATTTCTATATATATATATATATATATATATATNAGCCATTACATTATGACCACCCTCCATCTATAACAATGGGCTCGCCCAGGTTTCCATGGTTTCTCGCCCAAGAACATTGTTTTCATGGGGCACATTAGGACCCATAATCCTCATAGAGCAATCCCTGACGTCTGTAAGCTACTTGAACATAGTTGCAGACCAGGTTCACCCATTCATGGCAACAGTTTTTCCCGTGGGGGATGGTGTTTACCAACAGGATAATGCACCATGCCCTAAGGGTCAAATCGTCGAGGAACATTCCAGTGACTTCAGAGTCATGTCTTGGCCCCCAAATTCACCTGACCTTAATCCAATAGAGCATTTGTGGTCCTACTTAGAAAACCAAATTCGTGTTGCCACGCTACCCCCTCGCAATGTGAGGGAATTGCAGGACCAGTTGGTGAGCGCTTGGTTTGTCGTCGGCCTTCTGAGCCCAAGTTTGCGGGTTCGATCCCCGGCCCAGACACCGGATTTTCGGGATGCAGAAAATCCTCAGCGGCCATGTCGTATGATTATGTGGCATGTAAAAGATCCCTGGAGTGCCTCATTGGCTCTTGGCATTTCCGGCAAAATTAAATTCCTAGTGCACTTTAGCATCCAAATAGAGTTTCGGTGCTGCCATCTAGTGTGGCAGAAACTAGACGTCCAAATTAACATGACCAACGGTATCTCACCCATAGTGGTGGTCCTGAAAGAGTGGATACCACCTCTGGAGAACGCACTGGGTCTGATCATCGGCAAGACCGATTGTGCAGCTCATTGGAAATAAAAGTAAAAAATAATCTTAGAGCTAGTGAGCTCCTTCACTCGAAAAATCCTTATACGCTACTAAGTTAATTTCAATGTGTTCCAGCCAAACATTATATCAACTATTAAAATCCTTAAAACTAATTCCTCTTTAAAAAGTTAAAATTTTTAGTCAATAATAAGCTATTATTAATAGAAACATTTTTCAATGGAAATAAAGGATATTTCATAGAAAAATTGACTGATACGAAATAACAATTTTTCTTTAAAAAAACAATCTCTTCTATACGTCTTTCATGACTGCTATTTTTTTGCTCTTCGAATACACTTTTTTATATACTTAAAAGGCACAATGAATACTCATCTTTTAATGAATAAAAATCATTATTATTTAAACTGTATAAGTAAAACGTAATGTAGAACACTTTGTTTGTTGATGCAAACTATTTGTTTTTAACCATTCAGTTCTTCGCAATTTATAGCTCTTTGTTTTAGCTTTTCGTTATCCCCGTGAGAAAGGAATTCATAAATTGTAAACATGTACGTGAACGCTTTCATACTTATGACAGCTCACACACTTGAAAGTCGGGCTGTCACCGTTTAAGAGAAATATGGATGAGTAAAAAGTGCTCATGAATGAAATGCATCCTTTTTACGTAAAATTTAAAAATAGTTAAATTTTAATAAAATTGAATTTCTTTATAAAAATATTTTATCGCATATATTGTGTTTACTTTCTCCTAAGTTTTGAGTAAAAACTTATTTTGTTTAAAACTGGGTCTCGAGAAGTTATTACAATGTTTGAAAACTGCATTTTCTTATAGTAGGCCCCTTAACTTAATCCCTATAAAACTATAATTTTCTTTTACAGCAAGTTTTATTTAATTTTAAGAAAACAATAAATTAGTATTTATAGCATATCTAAAAAATAAATTAAACAAAATTTTTGCACAAAAGCTGCATAATAAAATGAACTATTTGAATTATTTTATCTGCAAATTCCAATGATAAATTATTAACTACATATCAGAGTAAAGAAAATTCTACAGACGTTAAAAAGAACAAAAATTCTCAGAAGAGAAGATTTATTTTAATCTAAAAGTATGTAAATTAGTTTATGTGTTTCAATTAATTAAATTTATTAAATAAATGTTATACGGTAAGGAATCATTTTAATCTAATTTCAGTCTCTAACAATGATTAAAAAACGTGAAACTCAATGAGAAGAATGGCATCGTAGTTTAAGAACAGAAAATTAATGAAATGTAAGAATTTCCGAAGGATTATAACACTTTTATAAGCGTTTTACTAAAAGTTCGAATACAAATTCAATTATTTCATTTCTCTTTTTTTTATGTACTCTGAAAGGAGATATTTATCGGTGTTATTTTCGAACGGGCACTTTATTATAAATTAAGATTAATTAATTTTTCTCGAAATGCGTGTTAATTATTCATTACATTTCGCAGAGAAATTTAAAAAAAAAAAACAATCTGGTTGAATATCGATTCATAGAAATGTAAAGACGAAAGAAAATTTAAGAAATGTTCGTTTGCTTTAAATATTTTGAATGTATTTACGTTTCAGTTTAGAATTAATATCATTGAATTGTTTAAACTCACGTTTCTATTTAAGTCTTAGAAGATTGTTCTTACTTGAAAACAATATAAGCTTTTGTAATTATATATTAAATAAAATGAAATGCTTAGGGATTATATCAGAAAATGGACTGAATTTTTAATATTTATAATTTCGAAACTATATTTCACATGTTTCAAC